TTTACAGGGTTATAAAAATAACCTGAGAATAACTATAAGGGAACATTCTTTATAAGTTATTTTTAGGTTATTTAAAAATAACCATCCTACAATGTTCTGGGAACGTTATTTTATGGTTGCAAAAAATAACCATTAGGGAACATTCTCTTTAAGGTATTTTTAGGTTATTTAAAAATAACCACCATGCAACATTCTGGGAACGTTATTTTATTGTTAAAAAATATAACCTAAAAAGAACGTTCCTCTAACGTTAGTATTTGGTTCCCAAAAAATAACCAAACGGGAACCAAAAACTAAAGTTAGGGGAACGTTCTGTGTTTGCTGGGTACTTGGGGGCGGGGCATGGTCGTAATGGATATAATGAAAATATTTGAAGACTGTTATGAAAATGAATGTTAAAAATATAAATATGACATGAAAACATGAACACATGATTAGAACACTGTTAGATTATGATTATGATGCAGCAATGTTATTAAAAAAAAGAGGCATCTAAAAAGGAATAGCTGCCTGGGGTGAAGCTGAAGACTGAGGCCCGTTCTTTGATACATCCTATGATATTAATCAGATAGGCCTAACTTAGATACATAAAGTAACATTACAACTTGTATCTGCACAAAAGGATGCAAATGCCAGTGAACTTTAAGTTACGTGCTATAGCGAGACAGAGAGAGAGAGCAGGCTCCCGCCGTGGTGTGCATTCATAACAGTGTGCTGAAACACGGGCAAGGAAAGCAGACAGAATTTACTATAGATTTCACATTCTATAAAGTTCTCATTATAATGCAATGTTTATACATTATCAAGTGATTCCTGAAATCGTCTGCGCATTTTCAAAGCCATACGAAGTACGAACAAATGTTAATTGAAATATGCCTACCATTGAACAAATATGATGAAAGAAGCACTGCTGCATTATTATAACATCAGTATTAAAAAAAAAAAAAAAAGAAACATCTAAAAGCAATATGACAGTCTCAAATAACTCGGTCAATATTATCAGGCATTGCATTTGAGCATGAATCTAAACACTGGTAATATGCAGTGCATTCAGCATGTTAATAAATGTTAATATCCCAACGCACCCTATGTTAGATTAATCAGATATGTATGTAGCTAACCCAGACATCACTGCGTGACTTCGAAGCCATGCTTCTCTCTCTTCTCACGTTTATACTTTGGACCGCATGCTGTGGCCAGCTAAACAAACAGAGCACCGCCCAAAATTACTTTGGACCGCATGCTGTGGCCAGCTAAACAAACAGAGCACCGCCCAAAAGGCTGCTATAACTAATCAGAAAAAAAAAAAATTTCCACGATTATCATTTTCATGATCGATTGTCGCTGTCAAGGCCGAGTACTCGATCGCTGTTGCACATCCCTAATAAATACATATAAATACATCTAGACCACTTAACTTAGTGATTGCTATCAGGATGTGAAGAGACTTTCAACCAGCATAACAAAAATGTTTTTGAACCAAATCACCTATGCCCCTGCCTTTAATGATTCAAAAATAATATAGAAAAGCTAAAAATCAAGGTATACACAATAGCCTACTGCTTATTTTAAATTATTAAAAAAAAAGTAATACTAAACAATAATAATAAAAGGTAAAGATCCTATGACATATTTCTTACTCCGAAATTAAGAACTTAACATGCACAGTTTTTTTATTGCGGAGTAATAAAAATCCCCTCAATATCTCATTTAATGTGTTGGTTACAAAAACTTTCTAGAGATTGAAGTTATTTGAATTGTAATAACATCCTTAGATTCTCCATAGTATCTTTGTTTTAATTTTAGCAGGGTGCAAGGGGGAAATATCACACCCTTGCTAGGGGGTCCTCAAATATTGTCTTTGGTAATAGGAAACTCCATGTGGAGTGGCAAAGGTTGAAAATGACTGCTGAAGAGTCTGCTTTATATGAACAGAATTCCTTACAACATTACTGTGGTAATATCATGGCACAGTGACAGTAATACCATGGTGTTGTAATATGTACTGTCAAAATATGTTGATTGCCAAATTCATATATTGTGGTGTTTACATTATATTCAAAATGCCAAAACCATGGTACTTTTTTGTATATGATGGAAGTTTCTTCCTCCTGATGGGATGAACCGCCTGTGTCCTTTTCTTCTCTTTTCTGCTGATGTGTATGTAGAACGAATGAGAGCAGAAGCGAATGTTCACCCATGCATCAGTACCCCAGCAGACAATCAGCGCTGTATAATTGGCCTTGGCCTTCAAACACTCACTGGCCTCGTTTTCTGTTTATGGGGCATGCTGAGCCTGACAGCAGAAAGCTATAATTGCAGTGATGTAATCCATCTGAAGGTACAAAGGGCCCTTTCTCATCTCGCATCTCTCGAGGGAGCCGTTGGTACTGTGTTGCCATGGCGGAGCCACACGGGAGTGTCTTGAAAGCCGCTTTGCCACTTCTTGGGTGCGATTTGAAATAATCGAATTATTATTTAATATGCTTTATTGCACATAAGGAACATCTTTCGTGGTCATCCCGCTCTTGTTATGATTTGTGTGGGCTGAAATGGCCCAGAGGAGAGTAATGACAATGAGGGAGGGTGTGCGATTTATGCATTTGGTGCCATTTCCTGCTGTGATTATTACTAGGGATGCTTGACCCTTCCTGGCCCATTCATGTTAGCATGCAGTGCTCCAGTGCCCAGTGCATCAGTTAACAGATTCCACAACCAAGTCCTGCTCGACAAGAAGGATTGAACCTCTAGTGGCCTAACCAAATGCTCTGCCGGCAGAGCACGTTTGTAATATCTTCCCGGACAGGGTGGATCGGTCAGATAGGGCTAACAAAGGCTAAACATGGCCTGCAGCATCAACAGTGAACGATCGCATTACTGCCTGTCGCAAATGGGAGCTGCAGCCTGCAGCCGCTGGAGGCTTGTTTTTCAGTGCTGGTGGTTATCACGGATGCTGAAAGACAAAGTCAAGGGGCACAGGTGACATTCGGTTTGATAAAAATTGTGCATGAATAATTAACATCTATAATAGTTGTATTTGAAAGGAATATGCAAGAGAGCTTGGATACAGAATGTTATAGTTGTATATTTAGATGCAGGAGAAGAAATAAACTACTAAATAATAAATAAATACTGAAACATGTTTCAGTAGTAAAGTAACTAATTGCTTATTGAGTTTATCAAGTGGCTTCCTCAGGCTGTGTTGCATCCATTGCTGTGTACACTAGAGATATTGAGTTACCTGAGAAGAATTGCTTTATTATTATTATTATTATTATTATTATTATTATGTTGTTGTTGTTTCACAGCAGTGAAAAAGTCTCAAAAGGATGAGTATCAGGTATCTTTATTATGAGTGCTTCTCAGTGATTGTTTTTTTTCACTGGAGAAAATTGTGATTTATGTTGAGTGCTGCTAGTAAACATCTATATTACAAGATCAAAAATTATAATCATATTAAAAGGATGATATGCTGGTTAATTGATGAGACATAATTGCATAGCCTATATCAGTATATTTGCTCAGAAAATGCTCTATCTATCTATCTATCTATCTATCTATCTATCCATCTATCGTCTAAAAAATTAATTTATTTTTAATACATATTACATATACATATTTTTATTCTAGTATAATTAGGGCTGTCACAATATCAGATTTTCTCTATAACAATTCAATAACAATGATAATATTGTTACAGTGTTGTTTATATACATTTTGGAACCTAAAGAAATAATGCCATCAGTCAAATTCCACTAAAACTTTATTTGTGTTGTCACAATGAATTGCACTATACAGGTGCATCTCAATAAATTAGAATGTCGTGGAAAAGTTCATTTATTTCAGTAATTCAACTCAAATTG